TTGGGGCGCCGAGTTCCTGGCGACGCTGATGGTGACGCTGATCTCGCTCTCGGCGTACGAGGCCGCCCACGCGCCCTCCAGGTACACCAAGGACGCCCACTGGGAGGCCACCACGCCGCGCTTCACGCCCTCGGCCGCCGTGCCCGTCGTGGCCGCCCACACCGCTGCCGCCCTCTTCTGCGTGAGTCACTCTGCTTGATTGCGTGTGTGTGTGTGTTTGTTGTGCGCGTATGTTGTGTGTGTGTGTGTGTGTGTGTGTTGTGTTGACTGTGTGTATTGTGTGTGTGTGTGTGTGTGTGGTTGTTGTGGACTGTTTGTTGGTTGTGTGTGTTGTGTGATGTGTGTTTGTTAATTGTGTGTGTGGTGTGTGTGTGTGACTGTGCTTTGTGCTTGTGTGCTGTGTGATGTTTGTTTTGGCGTGTGATTTGTGTGTGTTTGTGTCACTGTTTGTTGTGTGTGTGTGTGTGGATGTTGACTGTTGGTTTGCGTGTGAGTGCTGTCACTGTTTGTTTTGCTCGTGTGTGTGACTGGTTTGCGTGTGTGTGTGTGACTGTTTGTTTGCGTGTTGTGTTGTGTGTGACTGTTTGTTTGCGTGTGTTGTGACTGTTTGTTTGCGTGTGTGTGTGTCACTGTTTGTTTGTTTGCGTGTGTGTGTGTGACTGCTTGATTTGTGTGTGTGTGTGTCACTGTTGTTTGTGCTGTCACTGTTTGTGCTTGTGTGTGTGACTGTTTGTTTGGCGTGTGTGGGTGTGTGTTGACTGTTTGGTTTGCTTTGTGTGTGTGTGACTGTTTGTTTTGCGTATGTGTGTGTATTTGTGTGTGTGTGTCTTTGTGTGTATGTGTGTGGTTGTGTGTGTGTGTGTGTGCGAGCAGGGGGGGTGTATGCTGTACTTCTCTGCATGTGTATGTGTGTGAAACCTCTTGCTTGTATGCGAATGTGTTCATGATTGTAAATCTCTTTAATATGCAATGTATAAACACATACAACTCTATACAACATATGTAGATGTAGACGTAGTACTATAACAGCACTACATCTACACTTGCAACATGTTCATTCACTCTACATAACAGCACTACATCTACACTTGCAACATGTCACTCTACATAACAGCACTACATCTACACTTGCAACATGTACACTCACTCTACATAACAGCACTACATCTACACTTGCAACATGTACATTCACTCTACGTGCACCTCGTGGCACCTGCACGACCGCCTCGCCACGCCCCGCTGACCACCGGTTTCCCGCAGGCTGAGTTCACCGGCATTGGACTGAATCCTGCTCGTTCCTTGGCCATCGCAGCTGTCTCCGGTGCCTGGAGCTACCACTGGGTGAGTTCTGGTTGCCGCCGTCTCTCCCTCTCTCTCTCTTCTGTCTTGCGTCTTCTGGTTTATCTCTGTCTCTCTCTCTCGCTGTATCTGTTTGTCTATTTATCTCTTGTCTATCTGTTTCTCCCTTGCCCCATCTCTCTCTCTTTCTCTTTCTCTCTGTCTGTCTGTCTGTCTGTCTCTCTCTCTCTCTCTCTCTCTCTCTCTCTCTCTCTCTCTCTCTCTCTCTCTCTCTTCTCTCTCTCTCTCTCTCTCTTCTCTCTCTTCTCTCTCTCTCTCTCTCTCTCTCTCTCTCTCTCTCTCTCTCTCTCTCTCTCTCTCTCTCTCTCTCTCTCTCTCTCTCTCTCTCTCTCTCTCTCTCTCTCTCTCTCTCCCTCTCCCTCTCCCTCTCTGTCAGCGCAGGGCAGTCACTCCCCCATTCCTCAGCACAAACGCGCCCTCGGCTTTAAATATCCTCAGCGAAGCCAATCAAAATAAGTCACACTCACAAGCCGCAGCGTTGCCCCGGTCCGTGAGCCTGCCTAAAGGTGATGAATTTCTTTCCCTCCCGACAGGTGTACTGGGTGGGACCCGCACTCGGGGGTCTCCTGGCAGCCTTCACCCACGAGTACACAGGCAACAAGGACCCGGACGCCCTCCCGACGCCCTATCACCCGCCTGTCCTTCCTCGGGATTCTTCCAGGGCTTCGGATATCACGTCGACCCTGGCATCACCTTGTTGAATCTCCAACTTCCGTCTTCTATTCGGATATTCATTTCATTCTCTCTCTCTCCTCTTTTCTCTTTCGTTGAGGTAGTCCCCCTTCTGTTGTGTTCCCTCCCCTTCTTAGCTAAATGGATTCCGTCTCCTCTTCTCCCGTGCTGATGAATGCGTCCTCCCTTTCTCTCGCTGTGTCCCGGTCGCACAAGGCCCTACCTACCTCCTCCTTGAGTGTAACCCTCCTTGCTTAGTGTTCCCCTTCCTCTTCCGCCCACCCTGCTAAAGAGAGTCTCTCCCCGCTGCGATGTATCTACCTCCTCGTCTCTCTGAACCCTTGCCAAACTCCCCCTGTCGAGCTGAACCGCCCCGGGCGACTCTGCAGGTAAAGTCGCCAAAGTGGAGTAAGATGTTATACACAGGTCACCGAGGACGCAGGTAATCATAGGCAACCGCGCGCCTCGTTTGTTTAATCTTTTGTGTCTTATGAATGTATATTGATGAGTACGGTGTGTAAACAATAGAAGTTTTCCGTCAGTTCCATATTCTATATGTATTTTATCCATCCATCATTCACGTTGAAACGAATTATCTATTGGAGAATTATTTAACAAACAAAAAATTATATATATATTTTCTTCTTTGTCTGTTCAATCGTCTTAATCGTCAGAAAATAGTTTTATATAAAATCGACATGCAAATAACACTAAAAAAGGTTAATGAGGTGTCCAGAGATGCTTTACCCCAACTTTAAAAGTACAATGACTTTTAGATAAGAGATCCCAACCGACCAAGTAATATTTCTAAGTCCGTAGTCCGTCCTTTAGCCATGATGACATCTTGTAGACACTAGACGTATAGACTATTTGTAAATGTTTCTCCGTTAATAAAGGGCATTTCTCCTCTTACTTCTGGTTTCATTTTTCTCTCATCCCTTCATAGAAAATCAAAGTTTTGATTATCACTGAGAATACGCTTAGTTCAAGCAAGCAAAACAATTAAGAAATAAATCTTGCTAAATATTGTGACCTCCATTGGGAAATTCATCCAGAAAACATTACTTAGAAAATGGAGTTCCTGACCTTGCACAAACCAGCAAAAGTAAAGGCTCTTGTTGCAAGTAGATTGTTTCGATTTCACTGTGACCCTTAACAATGAAAATCAGTGTTTCTACAAAATCTGAGTGACCTTTCAGTTACAGAACCTCCATCAGCACAAGTGTATTCCGTAAGATTAAACACGGAACCATTTGCTGTCAGTCATTGATTTTCAAAAGATTATCATATTGATCAAAGAACAGTTTGCCTGAGCTTTGAGACATTCATACGTAATGGGCAAGTGTAATGTCGAATCAGGAAGTCTCCATCAATTTAAAACTGGAATTATATTTGTTCTGAATAAAGTTTTGTAGTAAGGTACAATATGTAGTGTTAAATCTTGGTTATGAAGTATTTCGATCCCTTCAAACTCGCATGACCTATTTCTAGAAAAGTATGAAGCAAATTCACGAAGGAAACTTGAAATCGTTCATCTGCAATTCTTACATTTCATCCCTGTTGCACAGAAGATAAAAAGCGTAACCTTCCAGTACAAAAGTCACCGCTCTCTGCCTGTAAATTTGTTTTGTCAAACAATTGGGTGAAAATATCTGGTGCAGGTTTTCATTTTTCTATGTACAGACACATGCGGATTATGGTTCGCAAGATATGTGAACAAATATCTTTTTTTATTCTTACTGCTTCTATCATGTATTGTTTTCACAAAAATTGAATGAAGATATACACATTCATGTGCTGTGCCTAACCGTGTGATTTTCAGCAACATAATGTATTGATTAGAACCAAACAAATAATTATGGGAAGATGATTGCAGACCTTTGCTTCCCGCACTACAATGTACATGCAGCCATCGCAGGTGTAGAATCCTTTCAACAAGCACAAGAAAGTGGGGTTTGAACAAGATATTGTCTGGACATTGTATCTTTGACTTATCTTTATGCAAATTACACAGATCGCCATCTCTATCAGCTTTTTACGGCATATGTTCCTCCCTCTTTAATGTAAAAGAAACAAGTACACCAAAACCATTTTTAGATCACGAGAATTAAAAAAAAATGCCAGTTGCAGATTGAAGAAACACAAAATGTGAATACATCTATAATCATAACAAGCGTTACCAAAACTGGCTTTCATACTTATGGCTCAATATACTGGTAACCGAGTACATCGATACGAGTAAAAATGAATATCAGCAGCTTTACACCAAGACCAAAGTCTATGTAATTGGTAGCGTATACTTTAAACACTTCATAGCACAATCGCTACAAGAGGGGTTACCACTACTACTTCAACAATTAAAAGGTGTTTAGAGAATACGCCACATTTTGAAATCCGTTACCAAAGTTCCAAATCACAAAGCCAACACTCTTAACACACTGAAAAATATTCATGATGGAAAAGAAATACACTGCAACTTCATTATGGATCTTGCACTGGTGAAAGATATGCAAGAATGGTTAAAACGTTGCCACAAGTAATTACCATTCTTCTCTGATGCATTTCTGGAAAAATGAAGTTTAAACAAAAATATACCACTGTACTGCGATTGTGCCATTCAGTATAAGGTTTGGGCATGGACTATACAGGAAATTCTAGAATATTCAGACAGAAGGTAAACTCAGCGTCGTAAGAACTAGAATTGCATTTGTGCGATTTATCTTGTAATACCAATGAAACCAATCCGACTAATGACTTTCTACCAAGCCAACTTCTGCTAAACATGCGGAACACAAGGAATCCTCAGTTCACCAAGCATGATCCATTATCAGACTATCAATATATTATCTGTAATGTTTCTGAGCAAATATCAGTAATACTTCTGTTAATCAAATAAACAGAGCTAATTGCTTTCCTGTAAAAGATTTTTTTTGTCCCCACTGTCTCAAATGTCCTTTTTGTTTTTGTTTTTTGAGGGGGGGGGGGGCATGCATTCTATACAAATTCCCTGGGTTTGCTAGACACCAGTCATCTTACTTTTACCTAGCCTAGGGAGAATTTAATTGCTGAAGCAAAATATTTCCAACAGGAAAATCAAAGAGATATTCTGCATTATCATCTTTTAAAATTTTGCCGGGTCAAAAAACAGCCAATAGCGGCGTATCCAAAGGGTAATGGGTAATGTTTGAAAGGAATAAAGTGCTAGACATCAAAGTCCATACAACACTTATGGTAATGCATTGTGGCAAAAGTGGCGAGTCAACGATTAGGATAAAGGGCAATGCTTGGGGTGAAGTCCTCTACAGCAGCATTAAATATTGTGGCACAGACGTGAGAATTAGTTAACGATTAGGCAAAAATATTAGATGTCAAAAGTTATAGAACGCTGTAGGTTTGTATAGCAAACCATGTACAAAGGCCGCTCAGGACCGACAAAGCCAGCCTTTCATCCTTTCAGCACAGCTCAGACTTTCGGATGTGGACAGGAGATTGAGAAAGAAAAGGAAAGATGGGGAAGGAAAGACCTAGCCACATTTTGTTGAGGCAATTATTTAGATCCTACTTTTCAATCGTCTATTTATGAAATAAATTGTGTATCGGAATGCCTATAAAATTAATGGTTCCAAAATATACTTGTATTTTGTTATATAAAGGAAGATTAACCACCCAACAGAAGTACACATCTAATATCTTATAACTGACAATCACACACACGTGCAAGGTTGGCCAGATATTCAACATACTAATTTGTAGTATACATCAGAGCAATGCAACGAGTTTCCCTGGGTTTAAAACATTTCTCTGCCTATACAGTACATCCACGGTCGCTAATAATACTTCCATTTGTTTTGACATTAATGTATTGTAAAATACATTACCTCCTCCCAATGCATTATTCAATGAAATGGTCTGCACGTTTAAGAAAGTACAAATACATAATAAACAATTATAATCAAACTATCATACTAGCTTTAAGCAAATGTTTTTTTACGAGTCCAAGGTAATGCAGCCGAGCCTGGTCACAAGGGTGCTGCAATCCTGGTTCTAGATGCACATCGAGCAAGGAAAACACAGTTTGAGGTTATACGAGTTAATTAAAAACGAGTCTACCAATGAACATAGGACATGTCAGAGGTTAGAGTAAATTCTTTTCTATTTCAATAAATCACTATTTGGTGGAAAAATAAAAAAATTCATAGCTTTTTTTTCTTTATTTCTACCCATAAACTGTTTACTTCTTGTAACCACAGCTGGACCTTCTTCCACGGGCACGCTCGAACTTGCGGCCCTTGCTGCGCACCAGTGGCTTGGTGTGGCTTCCAGGGAGACCAGGAGCACGGCCAAACATCTTGTATGCCTCACGTGCCTTGCGGCGACCTGGATAGAGAAAATTTTCTATGTATATTCTTTTTCTAATGACCTTGTACACTATTTCTACTTTCTTGGGATATTTCAGTGAATTTCACTCCAGAAAAAAATACTAAATTGCAAAATATCAACTCAACAGTAACTAATATGCTATGGACTATTTATGTTTACATTAAAAAAAAAAAAAAAAACTGAATTTCACTCCAGAAAAAAATACTAAATTGCAAAATATCAACTCAACAGTAACTAATATGCTATGGACTATTTATGTTGACAAATATGGATAGGTATGAATGAGAACGAATATCTTCATAATACAAGATATATACACCTCTTGTATTGTGAAGATATGCTATTTCCCATGAAGAGAAATACAAAATCCACAGACAAGAATTTGTTTCACTCATCACTATATGCATATATTTAGAGAAGATATTGATTACTCACCCTGGATGAGGACTGTGTTCTTTCCAAGGGGGGAACGACGAGCAAGAACATCAAAGGTGATGACCTCTCCGCCAGCCTTCTCAATACGGGCGCGGGCACGGGCAGTCACGCGGAGGGCACACACCTGAGGAGTCCCGCAGAAATTATTTCCTTCTATAATCAATTAAGTATTTCATTTAAAGTTTACAGAAATTTGGAAAATAACATACTAAGCACAATGCTTTTATTTCAACAAAGACTTTCTAAGCCTGTCAACTAAATATTTTTCTGTCTTGCACACTTGTAAGAATACTTTTACGTCCAAAATGAAATGCATCTTGTCATAAATAACTTCTAAAAGCCAGTAACAGTACTAATATTACTTCTCATTACAAAGAAAGAAACTGCTAATATATACAAAGCCCTAAAAATCCTGATACTCAAGGTCAAGTAAAGAAAAGAAAATCAAGTTTTATCCTTAAATCACAACCTCCTAAAGCATTGATCTAAAAAGCTGCACGACAATTATTTTGGTTGTAAAAACTGAGCCAGAGTTAAACTGATCATCACCATGTTTCCTTGGGTAACATTAACTCTCCTGTGCAAATGGGTGATTGCATTTCTTGTCTCAGAACACATTATTCATTGAATAATTAATAGGATAAAAAAAAAAAAAAAAATCCTATACTGTCTGCTTGTGGGTAGAAGTTAGATGTGCATTAGGGAGAGAATATCTCTGAAAATAGGGAACCACATTGCCTTTGTCAGCAGAAGTGATTCAGGGATACTGAAGCTGTAAATTGTGTAACTTTTTTCCTTGAAAAGTACTATCAACTAGTAAAGATTTTACAGCTACTGCATATAAAAGGTTAGGACAGCTTTCTCGCGCACCAATGACAAGTAGAGATTTGCTGATTCTTAAGTACATTCTTTGCATTTCTACCTCTATTACACACTTATCTGCCCAGAGGTATAAAAGGTAGTTGCATGTATTAGGGAGAATATTAACAAGAAACTTGCAATTTCTATGAATACAACCTGATCTAACCTGCACAAGTTTTAAAAAATCAGATTACTAGTACAGGTTACTTGTTCTGTA